CATGATCTCTTTTACCATCTGTACAATTTCAAGTATAAACTATTGCAAAATTGCCTGCTTTAGCTAACAGTTCATATTAAACACCTTTGAATGCCCTCAAAATATGCTTTACCCACTTTCTTTTGTTTGCTTTAAATTTTGGTTTAGGTATGTGGTCTTAGATCCTTGGGATGAAACCATCAAGTGTATAGGATACAGCTGAATGTATTTTGGTCCATTAATTAATATAGAAAAATCAAAGTTTAGGCATAAATACCCAACTCTTAATGGCCGGGATTCATTAAAACCCTGCACTCAGGGGAGAGGTGCTCTGAGCCCCTTCTTTCCTGTCAATGCATTTAAAACAATAGGGGAAAATCCTAAAATTGGGTACAAGCTCAGAAAAGGGGTTCAATAGATCCCAGGTAATGTGGCAGGCCCCAGGACCTGCCACTGCATACCAGGCTCCCCCGGGGAGTGGACAGTAGAGCCAGGCACCTAGGAACTGGACATCTGTCTCAGGGCCCCCTGTGGGAGAAGTTCTGGGAAGGTAGTTGGTATATATATTCATAACATTTGATTGGGGAGGATAAATAGAGGTCTAAAGCACACAGGAAATGAAAACAACAGTTTTTGCTCAATTCTTACCGAGGGAGAGAGATGTACCCTACTACCTCCCAGCCCTAGATCTCACTATGACAGAATCCGTACCATAAAGGGAGCACTCAAAGTCTGATCTATAATCCTGTCCCTACCAGAATAGACTCTCACTTGAAAGCTTATGGTGGGGACATTAACATAAAAGGGACGTTCTTGATTTCTGGGAGTTTGGTCCCATTATTTTCACTAACCAATATCAACACTGGTCAGTCGCGGGAGGACATATGAGAACCCTACCCACCCTGACTAGCCATCAGCAACACGTAGTCACCCACCATCCTATGACACTAACTTATACAGACATCTCATTTTTCCCTGAGTTTTTCTCCTTCTCTTCTATTAGTGTGGTCTAATCAAGGCCAGGTAAGCAAGTCTCATCTCTACAACACTAACAGAGGGAATCTTTAAGGCTGAAGAGAAAATTTTTGCCTGAGGGCTTCTACAGCTATTTTTTAGCTGGTCCGTATCTTGGCCCAGCTGGCATTATGATTTCCATGTATTTGTTCAATCGTTGCTATTTATATGCCAGGCTTATTCTGGTCATATTCCATGCTGATGGGGTGCTCATTTGTCTGGCTAACAGATATCCCTGTTGTATGCAAAGTATTTCTGACCCAATTGCCCTGGCCTGTTGCTGGCTGAGGGTAACCAGCTCTATGGTGGCAGCCAGCTGCCAAACTGACTGTCTTAGCATCAAACAAGAGCTTGATGAAGCTAGGGCCCTCCCTGCCCAGGGAAATTCTGTTTTTTAAAGTCTGAAAATAGGTCAGGGCATTTGGCTTTAAACTAGAACATAAGAGGATGTTGATTTATGGCAGGGGGTAGTCCCTGGGTAAATATGTGGCATTGAATGGAATATTCCTTCATTTCTGCTTTAGATACCAGAGTGAGGCTCCCAGCCCACCAGCCTCTTATTCTCTGAGTTCTTCTGGAAGTGACATGAACTAAGTGCTTAATTATAGGCCATAACTTTGGCTTTGGTCCATATCTAGTTTTGGCCTAATATGTTTCAAGGCTCCTCTCTTGTTTCTCTGAAATTCCAGAATTGGATGGGTATCCGTGTTTGGTTCTACATTTGAAAAGCTAGAGTAGTTTGGGGGAGTGGGAATAGGTCCTGGAAGAGCAGCCAAACTCTTTGGGAGAGATCAGAAGCCAAGGTAAATAGCCAGCTCTGGCCTTTAGGGCTCCAGTGAATATAGTTGTTGTGGATTTTTTTTTAATCTGTATCTGTATTCCACAGATCCAGTGGCACCTAAACCCATAGGTTAAAAAGTCTCAGGACTGCTGCTTAGTGTAGAAGTGCATGCATAATAGGCTCTTTTTTGTATTACTCTAGCAGGGCGACAATACATTCTTCCCTCTTGAGCTATGAAATGGCTTCTAGCCAGATATTTCTTCTCAAGGGTCTGACTGACCAGGGTCACAGAACAGTTAGTTCTGGAGATATTGTGGCCTTTTGGTGGGCTGGACGGGCACAGCTTGGAAATTGTTGTCATATTTATAGAAACAAGGGACCCTGCTAGTGAACCATGAGGTTGCCATAGAGAAGCGTAAGGGGACACACTGAAAGCCAAGGCAGCTTTCTTCATGTTCCCGGAAGTCCATCCCTGCCTCCACCGCCTCACCAGTCATAATGGCTTACCCTGGTAGGACTCTGTCTACCACAGAGACTCACTGTCCTGTATCCTCTCAAGGCACTGGAGCTCCCACTGAGCTTCCCTGGAGCTCATTCTCGTTAGTGAACTTGAGACTGGGTGCTAAAACTGTCATATGACACTTACCCAGATTTCTTCCCCTTGTACGAGCTGTACCATTTGAATGTGTGTGTGATATGAACTCCTCCTCAGAAAGAAGACATTTGTAGAGACCTCAGCTCCTGGTTATTGAATGAACCATCCCTGGAGTCCAAGTTCATCAGATTTTTAGGGGAGTTCCATCCTCAAAGGAGATATTTTTATTTGGGGAGAGATGGGACCTGTCCCTTTGGACTTTTGTAGGTGCTCATTTATTTACATGGCTATTTTCCTAGTTTTTGAATCCTAAAGAATGGATTAAAATTCTTAGGAAATGTAAAACAAGACAAAATGGCAGTGCATACTTATGTTTTTGAGAGTTACTTATAATTTTCCACTGCCAGATGACATGTTCTAGGAATGTGTTGGCTGAAATTGTCAAAGTGAGGAAGTTGAGACCAGACTTAAGTGGAAACGCTGAAGCCCAAATAGGCTGACCTGGGAGCAGAAACAGCTGCAGTCAAAATCCAGATCCAGGGACAAAGGAAAAAAATGTCAACTAAGGCAGGCAAGATGAAGTGTATGCCAGAAAGGATTAAAGAGTGGGAGTCAAATAATCAAAATTAAACAGGAAGTAAGCAACTCAAGTGGAAAAAAATAACCCAAAAGCAGAACACTAAGCAGGCTGAAGTCAAGGGGAGCATGCAGCTACAAAATTCCAGGTGGACTGATGCCATTTTAGTCAATCTGCCCCTTATTTGCCAGACTTGTGTGTAAGCATTCCATTTCCAGATTTTAGTAATACATACGCGGTAAATTACATTCAAATAGTAGAGAAATATTAACCAGAGAGCAACAGAATTTCCTAATACCTTTTTTTTTTAAACTGCTATAGATAGAGCAGTTTAGTTTCTTCCAGAGGGAAATATTACACATGTGGTAGCATATATAATACCATGTATATAATCCTTATAAGACATTTCACTCAAAGGTAAACATGGCAAGCCATTCACAATGTTACATTTTTCACTAAGTAATTTATTTTTGGAATCTTTCCATATGAGCACAGACATAGCTCTTCTTCATGATTACTGAATAGTGTCTCATGATAGCAGCCTACTGGAATTTATGAGATTAGCTCCTTAAAGTGGACACTTTGATTGTTTCCAGTCTTTGAAATTAAAAGCCTGTTGTGACTAACATCTTTGTCAACATGACTTATTGAACTTCAGCAAGAATATTCAAAGGGCAGTTTCATTTGGGCACCCAAGAGTACATGTAACTATTGACAAACAAAGTCGTTCAGATTAAAATGGACTTAATTACTCTTTCACCTGAACTGTGTGAAGGTACCCATTGTTTTCATATTCCAGCCAGTCAATGGTCATATCCACTGAGAACAGTCTCAGTTATGTCTCTAAAGCTTTACTACTGAAGTTATTGATTATTTTAATCTTATCCATGTCTTTCAGAATCTCGTGAGTTTCAATCACCTCTGCTCATATTCTCCTGCATCCCAAAAGACAATGATAATATTATCATGTCCTCCATAAGAAAAAAAAAAGCAATACATCTAATATCATTTGAGTTCTAAGCTCTGGAGAGAGAAAAAAAGACAATAGAGAGTTCTGACGGAAGAGACTCTGCATCAGAGATTTAGTTGTGAGTCTTCGCAAAATGTGGGAAAGATGAAACATAAGCCATAAAATATCTATGAAGTGCAGTCAAGTAGCTCTAAATGAACAAAAATGTCAATCAAAATTGGTCTCTTCACTAAAGTAGGTGTGATTTCTACATTCTCAACGATATAGATTCCATTTAATGAGCACATTAACTGTCTCCTTCACTTATACATGTAGTACATTCTAGTCCCAAGTTAACTATTTTTTCTTCACTTTTCTTAATTTAAATTATCTTGCTCTGTGGCCTACACCCTTGTAAGCTACCTTAAATCTTTTTGGTAAGTAAATTAGGAGAATACATGAATATATACTATGTGGTATACAGTAGAACATTTTATAATTTCTTTTGGTGAAGTTACTCCAGCATCTTTTTCTCATCCCTAGGGTCAATTCCAGCTTCCTGGAAAGTGGAGAGTTTGATTATTTAGAATAATCAGAGGTGTTCAACCTGTGGCCCACAAGCCACACACAGCCCAGGAAAATTGTGCATGCAGCCCAACACAAAATCTTAAATTTACTTAAAACATTATGAGAATTTTTTTCACTACATGTTGTAATGTATTTAATGTATGGTCCAAGACAATTGTGCTTCTTCCAGTGTGGCCCAGAGATGCTAAAAGTTTGGGCACCCCTGATAGATGTTGTAGTTTCATTAACTAAGGGGACGAAAATGAGTGAGGAGGCTATGGCTGCCCTGGGTAGTCACTTCCTACATGTGCAGAATCTGTCTTCCTAGCCAGACTGCATTACTGGCGGGCTATTCTCTGGGAATCAAACTGAGAAACAGGAGAAGTAGGGAGTGGGAGGACAAAGGAAAAACATTGACTTCTGACGTTACCTTTCTTTGGTGTCCTTCATTATCTCTCAGAAGATGCAGCTGCGGTGGCTGATAGAAAATGTTATCCACACAGCCTCCTCCCTGAAAACAAAGCTGCACAGAGGCCAGTCACTGGGTGGCCTCACTGATTGGGTGGCCATGTCATTCATCTTCCAATTGAGGATGTTTTGAAAAGGAAAGAGGATGCCATTAATAATTAGTTTTCAACAACAAACTGTTGAACCCAAACTGCCCCCAGAACCCGTGACCTCTAATCACTGTACTTAATATGAAATTGGATGTGTCGGAAATGAGAGAAAAGAGTGGAAGGAAAGAGATATATGTTTCCTCGGAAGGAACTGAGAGCAGCAGGATAACGTGACTGTCCCAACTGCACTTCTTTGATTTCAAAGAAATAAAACAGCTTTGGAGCTGTTCTTCAAACAGGATCTGTGTAGCAGATTGCTAGTGTCCAGTAAGGTCATTGCTAAACAGGCACCCAGAGAAGGAGGAAAGTCTAGAACTAAGGGGGAGAAGGTGCTCAAAGAGGTGAAAAGAATGTGGATCTTCTGGAGAAGTAATGTTCTAAAGCAGGTATGTGCCTCAGCCATTCCAGTATGTGCTTCATCTCTCATACTTTGAATATCAGATAAAAAAAAAAACAAAAGAAAATGTGACGATGGCTGTCTCTGCTCACTCCATAAAGGTGGTTGGATGATGCCTGGCTATCATCCAAAGGCATCTTTGTGTCTGACAGGTTGCATTAGACTCATCTCAAGGGGCTCAGCCCAACATAATCTGAAATTGCCTGTCTGGGTTGGGCTGGTTGCTCCTAGATTTTTAAAATTATTTTATTGTTGTTCAATTACAGTTGTCTGCATTTTCCCGCCATCACTCCCCATCCCCCCAACTCTGGCCAAACTCACCTCCCTCCCTTGCTTCCACCCTCCCCCTTGGTTTTGTCCTTCTGTCCTTTATAGTAGTTCCTGAAAACCCTTCCCCTCATTATTCCCTCCTGCCTCCCCTCTGGTTACTGTCAGATTGTTCTTAATTTCAGTGTCTCTGATTATATTTTGCTTGCTTTTTTCTTTTATTGATTATGTTCCAGTTAAAGGTGAGATCATATGGTATCTCTCCCTGACCACCTGGCTTATTTCACTTAGCATAATGCTCTCCAGTTCCTAGATTTTTAATATTAGCACCAGGAGATTTCTAATAGGTAGTCAGGAGCTGATATAATTCAAATCAGCTGCACTGAGAGAATTTCCTTTTCCTACAGCTCTACCAAGGTTTTGACCAAATGTCACCATCCTTTTACCTTTGTCCTTTGAGAGACCCCAGGATTCATGAACTGTAGATTGGACCCTGTGACATCCTGACAGCCATCCAGAACCTGACACATTGTTGAAGGTCTTGTACATATCTCAAGCTAACCCACAGCCAGACTAGGTGCTAGAGGTTTATGGTTTATCTTATGTGGCAACTGGTTCAAATTCTTTCAGATTTAGGGCATGATTTGTTCCATTGATCAGAACCTGGGCAACAATGAGGGTTCAGGAAAATCTAAGAGTCTCACTGCAGGTGAAAGGCTGCTCATAGTCAGTTGGTTGTGCATAGTCCCCAAGAGCTGTAGGGAGAGTTCCAGTCATGGACTTTTATTAAACAGAAGTTGAGATCAGGTCTTGCATCTCAGGGGAACCAGTTGCATCATGGATTTCAGGGTTGAAAGCAAGTTTTAGAATCTGGTTGCATGACAAAACCCCTATGCATTCCACTGGGAAGTGACAAATGGTACTTTTCTTTTACTTGTTGAGCCCCAATGTAACCACTGGCCAGGAATTTTTGGTTAAGGATCTGGCAGATTGGGCTCACCAGAAATACAGTTCTAGGAAGACCCTGGCTCCTCTACAACTTGTTCATTTTGTTGGAGTAACAAGGGGTAATTCATAAATCCCAGAGGCCAATTTTACAAAGGACATCTGTCTGAAGAACATCTGTTCGAAGAACATCTGGAGAAATTGGAGTCATTGGACAGTTTAGAATGTTGGTTTGGAAGACTTTCCCAGACTTACTGGGAAAAGTCACTTCTAAGACTTGTCTTAGAAGATTCAAGTGGGAATATTTAAGGTAGAATCAACTTTACTTTTGTGTTCCTAGGAGCCTCACTTTCTGTCGTCTTTATCACTCACAGTGGCATTTGTGAGTAAGTCAGGAGACCCTCACTGGGATCCTATTCCCAGTGATCTACACCCATTCCTGGTGTTTCAGCTGCCGCTAAGTTTTTCTTCTGTTCACTGCTCTCAACAAATTTGCGCTCAGATGCAGACAGGGAAACTTTGTTATCTGACGCTGGTTATAGACTTCTAATCCTTTGTGTATATTGACTGTCGCATTCTGAAGCATATTATCCTAGACTGCTCCCCACTTCAAGATAAGAGATATTAATTGTCATCAGATTGTTAGAAAATTTGGCAAACACTATGTAGAATCCAGGTCCACCTGTGTTGGAGATGCTTTTAATTTCAGTCAATGTTGCTTTTAAAGCTTAATAATTTCAGAGATGACCAAGATGACTTGGTTCTTATTTGTTTACGAGTCTGTCTCCCATTTTCCTTAAATTCAGTGATTATATTTTATGCCACTGCTGTCTGGCATAGTGGTTGGCACTTGATAAGTCAAATATATATTCCTCAAATGATTGCCAAATAAATGATGTCAAAAACAAATACCATTGTTGCCCTACATAGCATATCAAGTGGCAAAAACAATCTTTAAGGAAAATTAGAGCTCACTTTAAAATATATATCTGATATTAAAATGTTAGAATATATAGTTTTAATGAATACAGATGATCATGTATATGTGTGTGTATATATACACATATAGGTACATATATTTTTTGAGAGACTCAGTTGTGTAGTACTTCATTCTGTAAGAGAGCATATTTCAATAATATGTTCCGAAACTTCTGAGAGGGGTCAAAACAAGAGAACTAAGGAAGGTTAGAGTTGAGCAATTGGGAAATTTGAAGCCACCAAAAGGCACTGAAAATCCATCCAGAATGGGTCAATCCTAGGTCAGGCTCACATATTGAGAGCTTAGCCAAGACTGTCTGAACTCTGGGAAGAAAATAATTGCAGACAATGTGAAAACAAGAGCTATAAATCAAAAGTCATTTTAGTCAGGAAAGAGCAAAACAATCTCATGGGCAAGAAAAAGAGTTGAAATTAAAAAAAAAAACCTGCTAGCTATACTAGACTAAAAAGATGCAAATTCAAGAAGAATCTAAGCATATACATTAATTATACATAAATAAAATGAAATCCAAGCCAGTTTTGGAGACTAGAGATTGTATGCTCACAGCGGTCCATGGCTATTTGCTATTAGATGTTAGGTCTGTCCAACTAGTTGCCTGTCATTAACGCCTCCTACTAGAAAAGTTTCTACTTGAGACTTCAAGTTGTGGGATAATAATTGTGATGTGTTGTATTATATTTATAATAAAAATAAATGCTCTCAGCTTCTTTTAAACAAGACTTGGATCTAAAATGACATATGCTCTGCCCTGTGTGTCAACCCTTCTAGCTCTATCTCGGGACAAGAAAGTAAGGGACGTAAGGTTAGGGAGGAGGGAGAAGGTTGATGAAGGATTAAAACTTTTATTGTATGGTTCATTTCTTTTCCATTGGAGATTTTGAGCTCTCACCCATGGGTGATTGCTATAGTGTTTACCCCTAGCAAATTAGAGAGGAATGTTAGAAGAAGCCAACAGAAACAAGCAACTCAAAAGCAGCAAGAAAAAAATCTGATAGTCTAGTGCTACAAGAGATACAAATAATAAAGCAGAATAAAAATGTCATAAGTAGAATTCTTTTAAAAATTATTTAAATCACAGTATTGCAGTTGCTTATTAAATATTATTATTACATTAATTTATGAGTAAGAAGTTAAATTATATTCAGCATATTGTCTTTATAAATTCCAGGGAATATGGCAGTGATTTTAATTTAAAAGATGCTTAAACATTAAAGTACAATGCTTTAAAATAGTAACAGCTAGTATTTATTGAGTGTGTATTACCTGGCAGGTGACTCATATTTATTCATTCCATGCTCACACTACTCTATGAGGTAAGTACTTTTATTGTTCCCATTTTTATAGTTTAGGAAACAGAAGCATAGAGAGGTTAAGTGCCTTACTCAAAGTCATAGTTAAAAAGTTCTAAAGTATAGATTTGAATCCATTTGGTTATAAAGCTAATTTTTTCAAATATTTATTTTAAAATATTTCAAACATATGGAAAAGCAAACAAAATTGGACAAGAAATACCCACTCAATACCTAGAATCTTTAGTTGTCACTTTATAATATTTATCACATAAATATGTATGCTTCCTCAAACACTTCATTAATTCTTATATTTTGTTGTCTTTTAAAAGAAGTTGCAAACACAAGTAGTCCTCACCCATAGACACTTCATAATGCATTTAATTTATTAGAATTCAATATCTGTTTATGGGCTTTTTAAAAGGTAAAAGTAAAATGCATAAACCTTATGGGTATCGTTCTGTCGGTTTTTACAAATGTGCACACCTGTGTGCTCCAAACCTTTAACAGGTTGAACGTTACCATGACCCCAGGAAATTCTATCATCCCTCCTGGACATTATATTTGTGTGTTTCACCACTTCCCATAAAGTAGATCATGCCATCTGTAACCTTTGGCATAAGGTTTTTTTTATTTAGCATAATGTTTTGAACTCAGTCATTTTATGTGTATCTGTAGGGCATGCGTTTTTTATTGCTGAGTTGTATTCTATTGTATAAATATATCAGTTTTTATTTTTCTGTCTATTTTCTTGATGGGCTGCTTCTACTTTTTGTTAATTATGGTTTATATTTTCCTGCATATTCTTCATTTCTCTTTCACTTTATTCCTTCTTGAAGATCTAAAATTGCATCTGAAACATCTGAGAATATCTTTATTTTGTCTTCATTCTTGAAGTATACTTTTGCTATATGTGGAGTGCTAGCTTCATTTTTTTAAGATATTGTTACTCTCTCTTCTGGTATTTCTTTTATGGTTATGAGAAGCCAGTAGTCATTATCATCATTGCTTCTTAATATATAATGTCCTTTTTTCAAAGTGCTCTTAATATTTTAACTGTGGTAATTCTTATTAATATTTGACCCATGTGACTTAAAGCATTTATTAGCAGTGATATATAACCACCTGCTTTCTAAACTGTGAAATAACAGGTAGATTTTCAGTAGATTGTCCTTACAATCCCTCTGTAAGGAATTTCACACATTTTGCAAATACACATGATCTTTTGTACTACATTGATTTTACCTATTTATCTATCCATGTAGTTATATAACTATATACTATGTGGCATACACATATACTCATATATACATGTATACTTATATTGGTATGTAAAACCTATGCATGCACATATACAGTTTAATTCTCTTTATTAAACTCCAAGTCTGTATTTTCAATTCATATCTGAATTTTTACTTTTGCATATTTCAAATGTGCATTGAACACCCAAAATATAAAGCATTATCCCTTCCTCCCCTAATTTCTAAA